ACAGGAGATGCTGCAAAATAAATTGAAAAACAAGAAGTACTTGCTCGTGATAGATGGTGAAGTCAGTGGTACTGAATGGAAGCACTTTTTGACTAGCATCCCAGTTGGCACTAGGGGTAGTAGAGTAGTGCATATCACACAAGGCAAACCAGAAGAGCAAGCGGCGTGCGTAGCGGGCAGAGCTTGTGATTGAGATTAATGAGTAGCGTGTGCGATGCTACTGCCGGTCGGTCATGTGCTGCCAACTTGACTTGCTTGACACGACAAAGTAAAAGCACTACGTCTTGCCAAAGAATGTACTGAAGCGTGCTTCGTGGGCTTGCAAGTGCCGAGTGCGTGCATGGGAAATTAAGGAGGAGAAGAATAATAAGAGCTGGAGTTGGATCAGGATGAATGAAAGTGATTTGGGCTACGGAAGAATACTTGGACAAGGAATAAATTAGAGCTCAAATTGAGAATTAGTGCAATAAAATTTAATTTCTCATTTTACCACATGCAAAAATACATAAACATGATGCTCATGGCATGGTTTTAGCAAAAACTGTACAATATAACACCGAGGGTGTTACTCTAGTGTTGCGGCGAACACGAGGCCCAAGGCGCTCGAAGACACGGCGACGCTGTCCATGGTGGCTGTGGTGGCGAATCAAGCCACGACGAACTCCACCAACGCAGCGAAGGGCAAAGAACAAGCCACGAGCGACGTGAAACGGTAAGTTGATCTTGGCCATGTTGCTTACCGTGAAAGGTTCAGAGGCATGCGTCGTTCTGTCGTCTCCTTCTACTGTTCACGAGCAGTGTTGATAACGTGTTGAATGTGAATGTAAATAAACAGAGATTTTGGGAACAACTGTTGCTTTCATTGATCTCTTAGATATATATACAGAGTGAAAAGGTGTCTGTTTACGTGGAGAGGCAACTGTTCACAGGAACAGTCGACTTCCCAAAGGACATGCCCCTTCGGGTGGCATCCAAGCGCTAACACGTTAACTACTAACCCTCTCTCTAACTGCATATCCTTTCTTGGGGATGAGATCACACGGTGAGGAGACGCATGTTCACCAGTGAAGAGGCAGGCGTTGATTCACAACAATTTCTGTCGCATCATTACCCCACTCGTTATCATGTTATACCAAATATGGCAGGGAATCAATGGGGGCAGAGCCGAGAGAGGGGGCGGGAGCGGCTGGGCTCGATCCAATGCATGCGCCATCGTCGGCCCGACCACTTGGGTAGTGCTACCTTCGCCGATAACTCCTTGTGTGACGCAGCATGTGGAGCATAAAAATGTGTGACGCACGCCACGAAGGATTGGCGTGCCCAGCTCGTTATTTTCCGCGTCCCAATTGGTGGGTACAGTAGCTACAAAACTGGTGGTGATTATTCTACTACATCACTTTGCAAAATTGCAAGTATTATTACTTGCCAATTGATACTTTATTCTAGTACTTGTGGGTACTATACTCCTAAGATAGAACCATAGTGAAGGGGTGTTTGGCACGCTTATCTAGAAAAGTCAGAGCTGTTTTAGAGGAATCTTAATTTGTGACTCATCCAAAATAGCTCAACTTTTTTGTTTTTTTATTGAAACAGTTTCTCTAATTAAACGCAAACAGGCCCAAAGACCGCCAAACGATGGCTACGACACTATATGCTACAAGGCATCGTATTGCCCATTTCCCTCTTGTCCCTGTGTAGTAGTACCGTGTACGTGTAATAAAAATATGTACGAGTTAGACCGAATTTTTTACTTTTTAGCTCTTTTCTCGAAAGTTTCTCACAAATAGATCCCTGACGAAAAGAATTCAGAAAATAGACCATAACTCAGCGCCATCGATGCTGGCGCCGGCGCTAGCGTAAGCATCCCTGACGCCGAGCTCCTGGACTCGACACAAATGTGGCAGCAGGCATTGTGGCAGCAGGCATCTCGGCGCCGACGACTCTGGCGCCGAGCTAGGCGCCGGGCCACTCTCCGTGCAAAGGCTAGGGTCCGGCCGGCGAGGTGAGCCGGTCATGTGATGTGAATGTGACCTCTGTTTACGCCCGGTACACAAAGGATTTTGGCTCCCTGCCCAATCGTGGAGCCGCTGTTTGACTTGACTTGACTGCCGGTTCAAAAAGGTTTTGGTCCTGCAGCCGTCGTACCAGAGCTCTGGCAGCTCAACACGGACCTCTGCATCTCGTGGAAAGCGAGGTGAAGAAATAAGCGCGGGTTCAGTTCCACCTCTAATTTTCAAAAAGTGCTACCGTTTTAAGCCTAATTAGTCCATGATTGAATACTAATTGCCAAATAAAAACGAAAGTGCTATAGTAGCCCCAAATTCAACTTTCCAAAACTAAACACGCGCTAATGCAACAAAAAAAATTCTGCCAATAGCATTGTGTTCCTTCTGACTTGATTGATGCAGACAGCAAAATGGTTTTCTGAGGTCTTGTTTAGATTACCTCAAAATTCTAAGTTTTTTCACTCTCTTTCTCCATCATATCAATTTTTGGACGTATATATGAAGTATTAAATGTAGATAAAAAAAATAACTAATTACACAGTTTGGTTGTAAATCACGAGACAAATCTTTTGAGCCTAGTTAGTCCATGATCGAACAAAGTTTATCAAATACAAACGAAATATGCTACAGTGTCCAGATTGCAAAAATTTACAATCTAAACAAGGCCTGGTTCTGCAATACAATGCCGTCTCATTCTCAATGTGCGAAAGTTGGCATGCTTTTTACTACGGCTAGTCACGCACTGGCTACAGTGCAGGCAAATATGAAAGAAATAATTACCAAACCAATCATAACGTATGAAATTTATAGGCTATATTTTGACGCTGCAAAACGGGACAGGACCAGCCACACAGAGTTCTCAAATCATAGGCTGCCCTGTTAGGGCTTGTCCATGAAGGACTTTCTATCCGGAAAAGCTTGTAACTATCGAAGTATCGGTTTCCAAGGAGTTAGGCAAGAGGTAAAAAGAAGAGTGTACCCCTACACATCCAGTTTTTAACACAAAGTGCTGTGTAAGTTATGAATCTTATGATTACTCATTGGAATTTGCTGATCAACAGGAGCAAATTCAAGATATACGATACTTCCTCCTTTCTTTTTTATATATCATATTATCTTTGTCCTAAGTTAAACACTACTATCTTTGATCATCATTTTTTTTAAAATCGTTATAGTTCCACCGCATATGAATTATTATATATTATAAAAATATTTCTCATAGTGAATCTAAAAGCATAGATGTTATGTCATGGGTCTATATTTATTTTCTAGTAGATCTTATTTGCTAGTTGTTTAGAATAAAAAAAACTGCTAGCAAATAAGATACATCGTTGAAAGATTGTGTACAAGCACTATTATCGAGCCTTAGAGGCCAAGAGATATGACCCTCGCGTGAGCCTCTACTATTTCACCCTACACTCCCCATGAATAGGAATAATATCATCATTTTTATTAAATTTAGCGAATCTTGTAATGGATATTTGATTCTCTAAATTATTTTAAATGAAAAAGTTTAAACTGCAAAGTTTCGAAAACTATAGCTTTGTTTCAGGGTCCATATTCATTTTAGATTGTTTGAAAAAATAAAATAATTTTCAAAATATGAAACACTAAATAACTTCAAATGACAAATTTGTCATCCGTCTTGATTTTTAAAAATGATTTTTTTTCGTGTTGCACCTGTTTTCTTACAAATTTCTGGCCATATGCCGCTTGATATCCCTGTTTTCTTCCTCCGGTGCATACGGTGTACGTGAAGATGCCCCATCACCCTGGCTTTTCCTTGCACAGCGGATTTGATAGAAACCGTGCAGGCACAGTAACAGTGGTATAGATTAAGCTAACCAGACAACGCCCGTGTTGAGCTGCCAGAGCTCTGGTACGACGGCTGCAGGACCAAAACCATTTTTAACCGGCAGTCAAAACCTTTGTGTACCGGGCGTAAACAGAGGTCACACTCACATCACATGACCACCTCACCTCACCTCACCTCACGGACCCTAGCTTTTGCACGGAGCGGCCGGCGCCGAGCTCGGCGCCAGTGTCGCCGGCGCCGAGATGCCTGCCGCCACGTTTGTGTTGAGTCCAGGGGCTCAGTGTCAGATCGATGGCGTCGAGATAGGTCTATTTTCTGAATTTTTTTTTATCAGAGATCTATTTATGAGAAAATTTCAAAAAAAAAAGCTAAAAAGTAAAAAATTCAGCAAGTCAGACTGGTGGACCTGTACTTGTGCAAAAAAAAATTTGTAACAATAATACTTGTGCAGTTGAGTTGATCGGGTCGGGTCAACGTGGACAGGATAATGACGATGCGAGTTCGTTGCATCCCCCCTCGCATGATTATTGCCTTTATTATAATAAAACACATTATATATGCGATATGTCTCGCGGAAAGAAAATAATAATAGAAAAATGCTATCATGAGTGTTCACAACTTTGCAAGCCATCATCCAGTGAAAACAAAATCCTCTGCTCTCGTTGTGCGGCAGCTGTTCCGGTCAGGCGGTCAGCGTGGCGCGGTGGTTGGTTATGGGCGTTGGATTTCCAGCGACGCCACGGCGTGATCCGGCGACCGTCCTGGACTTGGCGTCCCAAGAACCCCCTCGCTCGTACGTGTCCGTGCCCCCTCTCCTTCCTCCCACCTTCCTCCCGCGTTGGCGTTGCCATTTCAGAGCAAGGCGGCGCGCTCACACGGTCTCCTCGGCCTCACGCGCAGCCCAGCTCGCCACGGCGTCACATCACATGGATGCCTCGGCACGGCCGACTCCTTCAACTCTGCGTCCGTCGTCTTCCCTTTCGTTTCGCATGATTGATTGAATCTCCTCGCCCCTTGCCCGACTACCCCTCCCACTATTTCATCTCCCGATCCAAGAAACCGGCCACCGGAGCGAACCCCAAGAAACGACCTTGATCCGTGAGGAAGCCGATCAGGCAGAGACAGAGCAGCGCTGCGAGCGATCCAGGTGATCCAGGCGATACAGCCAGCCAGCCGCCATGAACAGCTTGTTCTCGAGCTCATGGAAGCGCGGCGGCGGCGGCGGCGGCGGCGGCGGCGGCGGAGACGACGGCGACATCGAGTCCGGCAGCGTGGAGATGTCTGCGCCGCCTGGTGCCGCGGCGGGGGCGAGCCTGGACCGGTTCTTCGAGGACGTGGAGTCGATCAAGGACGAGCTACGGGACCTGGAGCGGATCCAGCGCTCTCTCCACGACGGCAACGAGGCGGGGAAGTCGCTGCACGACGCGTCCGCGGTGCGCGACCTCCGCGCGCGGATGGACGCGGACGTGGGCGCGGCGATCAAGAAGGCCAAGGTGGTGAAGCTCCGGCTCGAGTCGCTGGACCGCGCCAACGCCGCCAACCGGTCCGTGCCCGGGTGCGGCCCCGGTTCCTCCACGGACCGCACCCGGACGTCCGTCGTGGCCGGGCTGCGCAAGAAGCTCCGTGACTCGATGGAGTCCTTCTCGTCGCTGCGGTCCCGCGTGGCGTCCGAGTACCGGGACACGGTGGCGCGGCGGTACTTCACGGTGACGGGGACCCAGCCCGACGAGGCGACGCTGGACGCGCTGGCGGAGTCCGGGGAAGGGGAGCGGTTCCTGCAGCGCGCCATCGCGGAGCAGGGGAGAGGGGAGGTGCTGGGCGTGGTGGCGGAGATCCAGGAGCGGCACGGCGCCGTGGCGGAGCTGGAGCGCTCCCTCCTAGAGCTGCAGCAGGTGTTCAACGACATGGCCGTGCTGGTGGCCGCGCAGGGGGAGCAGCTGGACGACATCGAGGGGAACGTCGGGCGTGCCAGGTCGTTCGTTGATCGCGGGCGCGAGCAGCTGCAGGTGGCCAAGAAGCACCAGAAGAGCACGCGCAAGTGGACCTGCATCGCCATCCTCATCCTCCTCGTCATCATCCTCGTCATCGTCCTCCCCATCGTGCTCAATAACAACAAGAAGAACTAGCCCGCTGCCTGGCCTGACTGCGTTCATGGTGATCAGGTTGCCGACTTGTGGTGGATACGCATACACCGCGAGAGATGATTATTGTTGGGTTTTCCCCCAACCCCAGATTCGTTCTAGTTTTTTTTTGTTCGTGGCGTTTGTATCATACGGTTAGTTGATCCGGTCGACTTGATTATAGTTATTTACCCGTGGTTTTGCTTAGGATCTGTCTAGGTGACATTCATCCCTCCTATCAACTGAATTTTTTTTATACACTTACAGTGTCTTCTAGTTATATTTATATTGTCTTATTATTAGATTTACAATAATTTCTTCAGTGATAATTTATTGAACATGGTGGTGTAATTTAGAGATAATACAAATATATGTCAAATTTTTCAGAAATACTTTCAAATTATTTTTATGCATTGCAGATACCAAAGAAATATATTTCAAATTATTCATAATTTTTTCATAAATTTCAAAACAAATTTTCCCAAATTGTGGTGGGGCCCACCTCCCCAACCTTATCCCTTCCCTTCCGTCGTCTGCGCACTTCCCTTCCGTTCCGTCGAATGCGCACGTAAACAGAGTTCGGAGAAGAAGCAGCAACGGTGATCCCACCTGAGGGCAGCCTCCTCGTAGCCCGCCGTCGGCCCTCCTCGTCGCCCTCCTCATAGCTGGCCGTCGGCCCTCCTCGTCGTCGGCCACCGACCCCGCGCCGCGCCCGCCATGGCAACATTGTTTTCCACATAGCCCTTTTTTTGAAAAAAATCACAAATATGCCCTCTAAAGGAAAGATTTTAAAATTTAGACCCTTAGCTCGGCGCCAGCGTCCCTGGCGCCGAACTCTTGGGTTCAAAGCCAACGTGGCGGTGACATAGCAGGAAGCTCGACGCTAGTCCCTCTGGCGCCTAACTCGGCGCCGTAGACTCTTGGCGTCGAGCTTGGCGTCGGGGACTAGCGCCGAGTTTGTATTTTAACCCCGGCCCCAACCTTCCTGCCCGAGTCTTCTTCCTCTTCTCTCTCCTCCCTCTTAGGTTTTTTCTCTCCTCACTTCCCCTACCTCACGAATCGGCATATTGGACCTTGGAAACTTTGATTTGATCCGTAGATCTTTGAGAGCAAGGTATCCTCGCTCCCCTCCGAGTTTTTTTTGCATCGATTCGGTATATATTAGTCGGATTTTTTTACCTAAGAATCGTCATGAATTAGGGTTTCATGCAATTTTTAATATTTATATTAAACCTAGGTAACCGCAGCGCATGTTGTTATGTTTTATGGGTTCATTGTTGTGCATAACATTGGAAACCCTAAGTTTAGAGTTTAATGTTAATTGCTTTTGATTCTTAGAACGAAATTGGTTGTATTGTAGTTATGGTTCTCATTGGCATTAATTTGTGATGTTTTGATTTTTGTTTGTTAAATTACATCCATTTTGTTAGATGCAAGAAATGTACCGCGAGGAGTTTTGGCGAAAACGGGGTCGTCCTCGAGAATTATACCCCGACGCGTCTAGCAAAGATGCCCCCGTCCCTCCTGACCTCCCTGTACCTAACTGTGATTGTGCTTTCTCGACCCACGTGTTTCAATCAAAACATCCGAACACAGCGGCGCTTTGCTTCTACACATGCAGTCGTTTTAATATAAGAAATTATTTCTACTATCTTTTTTTCTTTATTTGTGTAAGTATGCTACTAATATTTTGTTGGAATCTCATTGTGTAGGACCATGAGAGGTGCTTTTCCTTTTAGTGGATCGACGGTGCAGACAAGTTTGACCCTAGGTACCTCCTTTTCAACGATTGGTTTAGAGGGAGACATCCACGTGAGCAGTTCAAGCGGTGGGTTGCACCCCCCTAACCCTCCGCCAATGACGGCTAAGAAAAAGCACCTCGCCGCAGTTAGATGACTCGAGAAACCTCCTCTATGCGAATGCGGAGATCGAGCCATGATAAACCCTGAGAATACTTTAGAGTTTGTGTGTCTGAACAAATACGAAGTAAGTGGGAAATGTATCTGTTTAAATGTTTAGGTCTATGTGTGCGTGTACTAATGTCACCTTATTTAGGTGTTTTCAATGGCGAAGTGTCGTTTTAAGGACTGGTTGTATGGTCCTAAGAACCAATGGCTGGAAGAACCGCGAAAGGTTAAGGAAAAGAAGAAAGAAAGGGTATTTTACAAAGCACCTCCTGTCATGTGCGAATGTGGTGTTAAATTCAACTATGGCCTAGTCCCTTCGGACCTTGGAATAGGCCATTATTGCGGCTATATGGTTGACTATGATGAGGTTCGTTATTTTTGCGTTAACATAAAATCATATTTTGTTTGTTTTGTTAAGACATATATGATATAATTTTTTGTTTGAACAGAGCATTAGGAAATGCAGGTGGTCAAGCTAAGTTCTTGGATGAACTCAAGGAGAGGCAAGTAATTGCATGGAAGCGGGGATATAGACCTGACTACGTCAACCTATTCGTTAAACATCACAAAGAAAAGATGCGTGAGTTTGCTAGACAACACGGTATTTGTAACCCGATCGATGTTGGGCTTGACAAATAGGGATTGAAGATATGGATGACGTTAGAGGAGGAGAGGGCAAGGAAGGAGGCAAGAGAGGAGACTAGTGTACAGATGCAGGTCTTGAACGAGCATGTTGTTGCATTATGTGCCAGTGAGTGCTTGAAAGCCTTTTTTCATTCCCTGATTTTAAATGTAATATAATCGCATTGCTAACTGATTGCATTTTATACATGTATGGATTGGATGCAGCGAGGAACATGCCGTGGAGGTGGCTCGTGCAAGATTTGAGGAAAAGAAGTTAGATGAGCACAGATCGTGAGTTGGTCGCACCGTTCAATCACCGATTGTGTTGTCCGATGAGGGGGGCGAGGATGAGGACGACACTGGCAGACTGAGTGAGCTCATCACTCTAACAGAGGCGGTGAAAGGTCCTAATGGCTAGAGGGGGGTGAATAGCCAAATAAAAATTTCTACAACAACACTTAACAAAAAGGTTAGACAATTATGAGGCGAAGCGAGTTTTATGCTAGCCTACCAAAATGCAAGCCACCTACCACAATTCTAGATTAGATAGCATCTATTCACATAATAGCTATGATACTAAGCTATGTCAGTGTGCTCTCAAAGGCTAACTAAAGAGCCACACCAACCAAGCATGCAAGCTCTCACAACAAGCTACACTAAAGAGCTTGACAACTAGTTTGCGGTAAGGTAAAGAGAGTGATCAAGAAAGTTATACCGCCGTATAGATGAAGAACCAATCAACCACAAGAGTGAATAACAATGAAGACCAATCACCTCGGAATCAAAGGATGAACACAATGATTTTTTACCGAGGTTCACTTGCTTGCCGGCAAGCTACTCCTCGTTGTGGCGATTCACTCACTTGGAGGTTCACGCGCTAATTGGCTTCACACGCCAAACCCTCAATAGGGTGCCGCACAACCAACACAAGATGAGGATCACACAAGCCACGAGCAATCCACTATAGTATCTTTTGACGCTCCGCCGAGGATAGGTCAAGAACCCCTCACAATCACCACGATCGAAGCCGGAGACAATCACCACCCTTCGCTCGACGATCCTCGCTGCTCCAAGCCGTCTAGGTGGCGGCAACCACCAAGAGTAACAAGCAAAACCCACAGCGAAACACAAACACCAAGTGCCTCTAGATGCAAACACTCAAGCAATGCACTTGAATTCACTCCCAATCTCACAAAGATGCTTAATCTATGATGAAGATGAGTGGGAGGGCTTTGACTAAGCTCACAAGGTTGCTATGCCAATGCAAATGGCCAAGAGAGAGAGCTTGAGCCGGCCATGGGGCTTAAATAGAAGCCCCCACGAAATAGAGCCGTTGTACACCTTCACTAGGTAAAACGCGGGGTGACCGGACGCTCCGGTCATACTGACCGGACTCTGGTCCCAGCGTCCGGTCGCCCGATGTTAGCCACGTGTCACACTGACGTTCAACAGGAGTCGTCTAATCTCAATAGTCATCTGTTGACCGGACGCTCCACTACAACTGACCGGACTCTGAGCCTCCAGTGTCCGGTCATTTCCAGTAAGGTTCTAGAAACGAATTTCTTTGACCGGACGCGTCCGATCATGCTTGACCGGACGCGTCCGGTCATGCTATGACTTCTTACTATGCCGCCCGACAACACGACTAGACCTAGACCCTTAACATCCGGTCTGTCCATGACCCAGCATCCGGTCATTCACTAACGCTGGCGTCTTCACTGCCATACATGGCCGGACGTGCCGGTCCCCCAAAGGTCCAGCGTCCGGTCACTGTATGGCCAGTGACACTAACTCCTTTTCACTTCTATCTTCTTCACTCTTGCTCAAATGTGCCAACCACCAAGTGTATCACCTTGTGCACATGTGTTAGCATATTTTCACAAACATTTTCAAGGGTGTTAGCATTCCACTAGATCCTAAATGCATATGCAATGAGTTAGAGCATCTAGTGACACTTTGATAACCGCATTCCGATACGAGTTTCACCCCTCTTAATAGTATGGCTATCAAACCTAAATGTGATTACACTCTCTAAGTGTCTTGATCACCAAAATAAAATAGCTCCTACAAAATATACATTTGCCTTTAGCTTTTTGTTTTTCTCTTTCTTCTTTCCAAGTCGAAGCACTTGATCATCACCATGCCATCATCATCATCATGCTATGATCTTCATTTGCTTCACCACTTAGTGTGTGCCACCTATCTCATGATCACTTGATAAACTAGGTTAGCACTCAGGGTTTTATCAATTCACCAAAACCAAACTAGAGCTTTCAATCTCTCCCTTTTTGGTAATTGATGACAACCCTTATACGAAGATATGAATTAAAATTCAATTGAATCCATGTTGCTTGTCCAAGCATTTTTACCATTTGTAAAAGGATATGGACAAGTTTCATGAACCCTATATGATAGCAATTGCTCCCCCTACATATATGCTAAAAGTTTGGATTGTAGCTTGCACATATGATTAGA